TTTGCTGCCCCCTCTTGGATAGCTGAGACATTTACACATTCATTCTAGTAACAGGTGGCTTTGTAATTAGATTTGGATCAGCTTTACCTTGAGGATCCAGCGGATCATGTCCTTGTGCACCTCCAGATGAGGAGCGTTCTGCAGGGTTTCCAATAGAGCCAAGATACTGGGAGTGTTAGCAGGAGCCTCACCTGGTGCTACAATGAAGAGATTCGATCAGCTCAACTCAGGGAGGTGTGCGTGTGTGTGTATGTATGAGACAGAAGAAAGACATACTGGAGATTTTTAAAGTGAAGTTGAAATTGGTATCATTATCTTCTGCGCTGCCAATGAGATGCTGCTGTTCTTCCACCAGGCCCATGCCTATGAGATGCAGCACCTGCAGGACATGTTCATACTGAGCTCTAACTTGGGTGCGAGGCAAGAACAATGTCTAACATCATGGTAAAAGCAAATTTATGTCAAGATAGCGTTCATGATAAAGTTACTTTTACTGGAAACTCATTGACAATCATTTAAATATTAAATGGCCACAAAATATTGCCTATTTTGAATAATCCACTGATTTAAACACTTTCCAAGTGAACAGTACTCAAAAAGCATACATTGGGCAAGTGTTAATGCTAATTATCAAAAATCTATTACGCTCTTATATTAAAGAGAGGTCCAGTTTGTGGAGGTTCTCGCTGTCCCTCAAACACAGACGTACCCTCTGAAGCATGGACTCAGACCAGTGTCCCCCGCTGGGCTCCATCGCCCACTGCAGCACAGCTCCCAGAATCCCCAGCAGCACGTCACACTGCAGTATGTTCACCAGGCTGGCAAACAGCGGACCGAACCGAGGCAGAACAGGTGGAGGCAGAACTATAACAAACACACATGAAAATCAGTTTTAACACTGGCACTGTCATCACATAACAGCGGGGCTGCACAATTAATCAGAGTAAACCAAAACACATTATTTAATGAAATACATGTGTAAGCAGCTAAAGAGATTATCAGCAAAAGAGAAGCTTTAAAGTAGGGATGTCACGATACCAAAAATCTAGTAGTCGGTATTGATACCACTGAAAGTACATGATACTCGATACCAAGTTGATACCACAGGAAAAAAATAACAATAATACAAACATTAACTCCTTTATTTAAAGGGGTCATATGATGCTTTTTTAAAGATCATTAT